GTTAATGATTTAAAAATTATCAAAGTTGAAATTTATAATAAAAATATAGTAAGTGGACTCAAACTTTTGGAAGCAACTGTATATAATTTTATAATTGTTTTAATTTAAGCAATAGCAGATTAAAGTTTACTATTATATTATTTTTAAAGGCCTTTAATATTCTTTGAACTTTATAAACCTTGTGTTTTTTTTTATTTATGATAAAAACTATTATTTATAGAGTTTTTTTTTATATCTAAAAAAAATATAAATTAATACTAATCTAATTAGAAGCTTGCTTAATAAATTGATATTTGATTCTTTTAAATTTATTATAAAATTAGTTTATTTAAGTATTTCTTTTTTTTTATAAAGTAAAGTTAATATTATAAAAGTTAATTTTAAAAATAGTTTTATTTTTTTTAAATAATGATAAATTGTCTTAAATTATTTGTAATATTTTTTAATTTATAATATACTAGAGTTATATATACTAGCTATTCTTTTTTAAAAAATTATTAAAAAGAAAAATTTTTTTTAAAAAAAAAATTGTTAAAAAGTATTTATACTTTAATTTTTTTATATACTATATACAATATTCTAATATAAAAATATATAGTAAATTAAATAATGTAAAATTCATAAAACTTAATTTCTTTTTTTAATTTAAATAATTGATTATTATTATATACTGAATACAAGACACAGCTTATTTTTTACATCTTTGGTTAAGTGAAAGAGAAAGAACATATATCTTTTCCTATCTCCAACAAGAAAAACTGATAATGACAAGATTTAAGGAAACATAGAATAAAAACAATATTTTAAGAGTACTATACTTGTCCTTTATTAGAATATAATATTTGAAAAATCAGAGAAATTTTTGGATCATTTGTACCTAATCATTAAATCAATATACAGTCAATCAGATTTAGCTTAATTAATATGTTATATATTTATTAGACAATGATTCAATTTCTATAGATAGTAGTACTCTAAGGAAAATAGAATAATATTTATCAAGTTTAATAAAGTATTCACTAAAAATATCAAGATTTTCCTTTCTAGATTGGAATTATCACAATGATAAAGAAGAACAAATTATTAGATGACAGAGTTCTTTATATCCAAACTCTCTCCCCTATATCCTAAAGCCTTACCAAAAATCTTTGACTTACCATCACTTGAAAAAATATCTATAACAATCCCATACTAGATAGGATATAGTAGAAATAAGGCAATAATAAAAGACATTCATCAATTAGAATAAAGCACATCACTTTCCTTTTTTTCTTTTAATGCCTCTTTTGTAATGTAGAATCCTTACCCCTGTTTAAGCTTGTATAATCTTTTTCAAATTTGTAGTTCTTTTCTGAAAGTAGAATAGGAAATACAAATAGTAACAAACTATGATCTAATATATACTCCTTCCCCTTTTTTCTTTTTATTTTTGAATTTTATTTATAAGCACTAGTCAGGTTCTAGATTAGTCCTCTTTTGTCTGAAAAAGGTAATCTAGTCACAAGGTAATGTACTTCTTATAGAAGCTCTTTTATTGTAACACTTTATTGTTTTAAATAGCTTGAATGTACAGTTGGAGAAATCTTTCTTCTCTGTTTTCTAAAGTTTCAATAAAGTCTTAGCTTCACCAGCAAAAAAAAAAAAAAATTATTATTGTATACTTAGAAACAAGTATTTAAGGAAATAATTGTATGAAATTAAAATTCCTTCATTAAAGACTGTTAGAATACAAATAATACCTTGAGAAGATTCGAATTTTTAATGTTAAATTTTGATTTCTAAAGGATTTATATTACAGTTCTCTAGGAACATTCGAAAAAACTTTCAATTAACAAGATCCGAAGGTGTAAATAATTTGAATTACATAGGTTATCTGATAATGTTGATATCTATATATTATATTGATAAGAAAATTTTTTTCGAGGTTAATAAGAATTGAGTTAAATGCTAGAAAAAGATAATGATATTTTTACAAGAGGATGATGCAAAAACTTTTGGGAAAGTAAGAGGTTCGATTGTTCTTCAATCTACAGGATTCTTGCTGTTCGATAGTATTTGAACGTTCAAAAACTGAAATATCATATTATTAAATGGCTGAATGTATTTAAGAATTACCTTAAAAGATACAAGAATAAAGCTTAGTCTAGTCTACCTCTTGTACCATGTTTTGGGTACTACTTCATAATCATTAATCATGGTTCTTCTTTTGGCACAATTAATTCTCTATATTGTTTGATAGTGTCACCTTCGAATCTCCTTACTTTACCAGATTCACAAACCCAAATTTCGTTGCACACTGAATCAATGAACCGTTCGTCATGAGATACAAGGATCACCCCTCCTTTAAACTCTTTGAGAGCATTTGTCAGAGCATCTATCGAGTCCATGTCGAGATGATTGGTGGGCTAATTTTTTTGTAAAGTTTATTGTTAGGAAGGTTTGACAGTTTTTATTTCCGAAAAATTCACCGATTACCTCATCTAATATCAAGATGTGCGGATATTGTAAGCCCAAACATGCAAAGGAGACCCTGCTTTTTTGACCTCCTGAAAGAGTTTCTAATGACTGCAGCCCCGTCATACCAGTAATTCCGAAATTACCTAGTTGACGTCGATATTCTTCTTCACTCTTGCCTGGAAATTTTTGGGACAAAAATCCTACCGCGCTTGTATTAAGATCTAGTTGATCCACGTGATGTTGCATGAAATGCGCGAACCTAAGGCGCCCGTGCCGATGTACTTGCCCAGTACGCGGTTCCAAAATGCCCGTTAGTAATTTTAGCAAGGTAGATTTACCTATGATCACAATAAAAACCTATAAAACAAATGAATGTACGGTTCCACAATGTTTATAATAGTAATTACCAGCTCCATTGGGACCTTGATAAATATGGGAAGGTTAATGTGTTAATAAAATTTCGATTGCATGGGCTGATCCAATTCAAGTTCACTAACCGACTACAGCTATTCGCGAATCCAGTTGAACGGATAGGTTAGCATTCGTCAGTATTGCAGGTCCATTTTCGTATCCGAAAGTGACATCAGATAACCGAAGGATGGGTGGACTCAGTGCATCCGGATCAGGAAATCTGTAAAAAGTGAACTTTTAGATAGTTACCAATAACGCGTTTAAAATGACTTCACAACAATAATTCGAAACTTACCTAAAGGTAATTCCGGCCTCTACCTCCGGAGGTTCCAGAACAGGAAGCTTTTCCAATAACTTAATTTTACTTTGAGCCTGAGGTCCTCTTTTGGCGTTGTATCTCCAACGATCGATAAAATCTTGCAAGTGTTTTCTGTATTGAAGTTGACTTTCGTACTCACGTAAATGATTTTTACGGCGTTCTTCTTTAGTGGCATAGAATTGTGTAAAATTTCCCTTATAGTAATCAAGGCGCTCAGAGTGTTGATGCAATATATCAGTTGCCACTTCATCTAGAAATTCTATTAAACGCGAGTTTTCGAAGGATGAACAAATAATAATAATAATAATAATAATAAACAGAGACAAAATCAATTAGAAGAAAATACCTCGGTCATGAGAAACGACAAGTAAAGTGCTTGGCCATTTTTTGAGGTATTGTTCTAGCCATGCGACAGCAGGAATCTTGAGGTGTAAAGTTAAGAGGAAAAAAGATACATATTACTACTAATTAAAGTCCACATCTGAATAGTAAATAAATGAGATCTTACATCTAACATGTTGGTAGGTTCGTCTAATAATAATAAATCAGGGCGACAAAATAATGCCCTTGCCAAAGCAAGACGCATCCTCCAGCCACCCGAAAAAGTTCTAGTTGGATGGCGATGCTTTTCCGGTGGAAATCCTAGACCAAATAGGATAGCAGCGGCACTTGAATTGACCAAGGGATTTGAGTTTTCAACTTTTTAACATGTGACTAAATTTTTCAATATTGAAAATAGAATTTACCGTGATTCAGCCTTGTCACTTTCAATTTCCTCCAATTTTTGGTATACTTCCTTTAATCTTGAACCAATTGCCTCTTTCTCTTGTTCAACGGAAACAGAATCCGAGACGTCTTCAAGTGTCTTTTCTAATTCACCAATTTTTTGATTTAGATTTCTTTCCTCGTTTAAGAGATGTTCTCGCCAAACATCTGCGCTCAGCACTGCTTGAATAGCCAGCGTATCGTCACCAACCATCTAAGTCCCGCCAAATTAATCCATATAACATTGACCTTAATATGACGTTAAGAGTCAAGGGAAGTAAATTAACTTTAACCCACCTCCTGTTCCACGTGAAGAATACTGATATGAGTTGGCACGCTAATTTCCCTTCTCGACATGGTTCTCAACAACGTTGATTTACCAATACCATTTCTTCCGACCAAACCATATCTTCTGCCGTAGACTAGCGTCAATGTAGCATTGGTCAATATTCTTTTTCCTCCAAATGAGATATCGAAGTTTTCTATCTTGACGTCCTTAATTTTCCCTTTTGTAGTAGTGTAGTCCAAGATCGGATTTACTTTCATGTAGAATTCGGCATCATCGTTCTTCTTTGATAGCAATTTACTTGATTCATAATTCGATCGTCTTTCCCTTTTCTCGATTTTGGATCTTATTTTTGCCTCAGCCTTTTCCAATTTTTTTGTATCAACTCGTGTTCCAAGTTTTCTTCCGCTAACAGCTTCCAAGTCCACAGATTGCGAAACCAAACCAGCAGTTGCAGATATCGAGTTTTTCAAGAGCATATTCACGGGTTGTTCCAGTTTATTGAGTCCGCTGCCCTTGATTTTTTCATTTTCCAAGTTATTCTTGGATATTTGTGCAAAAAGTTTTGTCAATTCCTCGCAAAGTTTTTGAATTTGAACCTCATCCCCACCTGCGTCTAACAAAATTGGACGGACAAAATCTGTTATAACATCCTCTTCATCAGTTATAGATGAATTTTCGTCAAGGTAACCGATCACGTAGTCGACAATAGCATCATCAATGTTAGGAACAGATTGACGTATCAACTTTGTTACCTTTAGATCCATCGCTGTCAACCACGATTAAAGCCGAACAAGCTTATATTTCTTCACGTGGTCATTAAAATTTTGCACGTGGTATGATTGCACAAAACGCGAAAATAATCAAGATTTCCTTCATTCTTGCCTACAATGGCATCCTTAAGAAATGTAATGAAAGTCCATCAAAATAGCACTGCCCTCTTCATTTGTGATGTTCAGGAAAAATTTAGACCTCATATCCACCAATTCTTGAGTGTTGTGTCAACAGCACAGAAAATGGTATTTGACATAAGGCATTCGAACGTTTTGTAAAAGAGAAATTCATTCTTTGATGCGTTTTACATATAAGATTGCTGCTTCCAAAATTCTCGAGATTCCTATGGTTGTAACTGAACAGGTTTGTATTTAATTTCAAGAGGCGCTTCGAATTCAAGTGACTGAGCGTTTTCAATAATTAACTTTTTTTTTACTTAGAATCCTAAAGGTATTTCTTTCTTTGAGGCTTAGCTGTTTGAGTCCTCATTAATCCGTTTTTTTCTTCTATTTAAAAAAGCATTGGGAAAAACTATTCACGAACTTGACATAAATAATGCCAAAGTTGTCTCCAAGATGAAATTCTCGATGCTTGTCCCAGAGGTTGTAGAAGCGTTGAAGGAAAAGAACACAAAGTCAATCTTACTCTTAGGCATCGAGGTATCTTGCAAAGTCTTCAATTGAGTGCCTATTAAATTGCTCATTCTGACCATTCCGATATTTTAGTCACATGTGTGCGTATTACAGACGACTTTGGACTTGTTGGAAAATAATTATGATGTTCATGTTTTGGCCGATGGTGTTTCATCCATAAATTATCCCGAAATTGACATTGCATTACGCGTAAATTAAATCATTTATTTATTTTTTTATTTTTTTCCGACCCTCATTTAACCATTAACACCCTTTTCATTATTCCTTAGCGTATGCGTCAAGCAGGCGCATCAGTGACAACATCTGAATCCATTTTGTTCCAACTTATGGTCGACGCTAAACATGAAAAATTTAAGAGTATTTCCAATTTGATAAAAGAATATAAAGAAGCGACTTCCAACAATAAGTTATTATATCGGTCCTCTACCTTGTAAATGTGTTATCCATTGATCACTTTTATGGGGTCAACGGAGGTTTATATAATATGCCTCCGAAGCGGATGCTAATCTTTATTTAATGCCTCATGTCTTCTGCAATACGCCGTTCTCATTAAATTGAACCAAGGAATTCTCTATAACAGAAAGTGTATCTTAAATATACAGTATATATTTGTGTATGTCCGACTGACATGTTCAGTACTAAATTACTCTTGTGAAAAACAAATGATGTTAGGAAGGAAAGAGAAGGGATGATGATGCAAATTAATTTTTTTTTTTTTTTTTAGTTACTAAATGCTTTGTATACACAACGCCCGGTTTTTGGATCAAAATCAGAATTTTATATTATTAAAAGTAATTGTAAATGTTAAAATGTCATTTTGTCGAATGTATTTCTTAAATTCTGGCCCTTTCTACCAACTTCCAAAATTCCATGTATGCTTCTGGATCTCTATGGCGAAATTCACGGTGAATGTCGATGCACTGGACATTCCTCCACGTCTTGACGGTTTTCTTGATATCATCACCAAAGAATTTGAAATAAACACCAGGAATGTTTCGGAAAGTGTCTTGAGGAGTTTTCCACTTGTACTTCTTAAATATCCACTCACTACCATCAGTAATTATGCATACGACTCGATCCCAATCGGATTCTTGTAGATCGTCGGTAGTGTCTGTAAATTCATACACTCTTCCCTTATGATTGATCTTAATCAACCGTTCTTTAGGTTTTTCATTACGAAGCTTCACTTGATCTTCGTATTTTTCGTCTTGGAGTAATTGTTTAACATTGTACATCGTAATGAAAGCAGAAGGTGCGGAAGGCACTAGAATTAATGGGACTTTAGGCGCTCTCGATTTTCCTGACGAGCGGTGATGTGTCCTTGACACCGAATCCTGTTGTCTGGGATGTGCACCTCGATCTTGTGAAGATGAATCCTTTTTCATTTTCAAAAAATAATCATCAGCGAGTTGTATGTAAAATGAATAGTTTTCTTCTTTGGCTTTGCTTTCGAGGAATTCTTCCCAAGGTGACTTTGGTGAAAGTTCTCGAGTCTTACGGTAAACTTCCCTCCATATCTTGTCCTTTTCATATTCGGCCTTTCTCTGACGCTTTCGTTCCGCTGCCAATCGCTGTTCGGCATCAGTGGCATCTTCAAGAGGGCGTTTCTCGGAAAGTCGGACGTATGAACCTTTACCTAGCAAAGTTATTGCACCTTTATGTTGAGGTAGTGTGCTATTGATTAATACTATAACAAAAAAAAGGAAACTCATTACCTCTTATGAAATCCAACCAGTTTCTTCTGTCAACGAAACCCAAACGCGTTTGAAATTTCTCATTAGTAGCATCCTCGTTGTAGTGGACCAAATCAAGTTTCTTAGTGACGGTAGCATGATAAAGGACAGAAAGTGGAAGTAATTCATTTGTGGCGGCACTCCGGAAATTAGTGATCATGTCCTTGTCGAACTTTTTCGAATCAAATTGTATGTACTTGGTCTCTCTAAGTGTAGAGACAACATTACCATCAGCATCAAGAATCTGAGGTGCCAAATCTTTGTTGTCATACTGTTTCAAAAGTTGAAGTGGATCGTTTTCGTCAAATTCTGCCATTATTTTTTATGTAAAATTGAAAGCGTTGTCTATTTGCACGTGAATTTGTTAAACGAAAAGCATTAGCCAACTATAACCTGCGTTTATTGGATGTTGAAAATTTGGTATTAATAACAATTAATTTTTATATTTACTATCACATGATCTCTATCTATCTTAGACTTATATTATTAATCAAATTGAATCCATAAGTACATTTTCATTTAAGCAGCATAATATACTATACTTTTTTTATTATTATTTATACTAGCTCAAGTCTCATATTTTATAATAATTAAGATAAATATTATTTCTATGCTTTTTTTTTTTTTTTTGATTATTTATAATCAGACAGTTATTAATTAATTGAAAATATAAATACATCTTTATTTGAGCAGTATGATATATTATAGTTAAATTATTGTTCTAATCTAACTAACTCATTGTAAGCATAAAAGTCTTTAAGTTTATCTTTAGAAACAATATTTCATTTCACAATATCTTTAAGTAAAAATTCTTCTAGTTCACTATATTATTATCAATAAGTTGTCATTACCATATATTAAATCAAATTATTAAAATACAAGAAACTACAAAAGAATAAATTGAAAAAAAAAAAAGTGGATATCTAAAAATATCTAAATAGATAACAAGAAATAAAAGGATAAAAATTGAAAAAAAGATTTTTTGGTTTTTTTCCAAAAATCTGCTTTTTAAGATCTTTTTTTAATAAGAAATATTTAATTAAAATATTCTTTCTTTTTCTGACTATCTAAGAAACTTATCCATTTTTTATCTTGATTTCTTTCTTATGTACTATTTAAAAATCATTTAATAAAAGTTTTTACTTCCAAGACATACTTGATTTCAACCTTATTTAAACAGTAATTTTTTATTCACCTATAATAGAGAAGTAATTTATAATAAATCCCAGATTCTTATATGATTCAATAAAAACTAGATTATATTTTTCAATATGATATCTTCTAGCAGTCATATCTAGTTAAAGGAATTTTACTGATATATATTTTCTATTATTCAAAAGGTCCGATTTTTCAACAATTCATTTACCTTGTAATAATAGGAGGGTTTTGAATAGTAATAAAGATTCTTGTCAATTATGATATCCTTTAATAACTTCTATAGAAATGTATTCTCGACTATAGTTAAAAGGTTAGAGTTTAATATAGACTAGAGACTATTCAATCTTATTACTTAACTAAAATAAAAAAAAAATCTTGATCTTGAATTTTACTTGATCAGAATGATAGGAGAAAATGATCTTAGCTTGAACAAATAGTAACTTTTTCACTACCTGAGAACTTGTTACTCATATCTCATTAACTTTATGAAACTTGATCTATAAATTAATTTAATTGAAGAAGTAGATAGAATTAGAGCACCAATCAACTCTTTTAATTATCAATGATGTCATTGGAACATGTGGATATAATCAATAGAAACTTGTTTATATTCTATTATTAATGTGTTTCATGTCAACCAATTAAATGTCAGGTAATATTGTATTATCAGAAATTCAGAATCAAATTAAGATAGGTAAAATTTTCCAAGAAAATCATGAAAAACAGTAAACACTTTAAAAAAGTACAAGATAGTATGTGAGAAAGTGAATAATAAGTCTTTTTCTATCAACAAAATCTTTATTTCTTATCACTTCCAGCTCTATAAAGCAATATTTTACTTGTCAATTTTTTTACTTTTTAAAACCTTCTTGCTTTTAATAAATGAAGTATATATTTGAGTCTATTCAGACCACTAGAGATCCAAGTTTTTATTCAAAGAAGTTTATAAATAAGTAAGGGAGAATAGTAGAGATAAGTAAAAACAAACTTCAAGTTGTTTTAATGAAAGTATAGAAACTTTATTACTAAAGAAGTATAAAACTTCTTAAGAATATCTTTTTTATATATGATTAGAGAATTAGTGAAAAGAGTTTTTTTTTTTTTTTGTATACCTGCAGTCAGGTTAAATCATAGTTTATTAATCAACTGAAAATATAAATATATTTTTATTTAAGCAATATAATAAATACTATAGCTAAATATCAATTTTCAAATCTAACTAACTTATAATAGACATAATAGCTTCTAAGTTTAAGTTTGGAGATAATATTTCATTCTATAATAGACTTTAGATAAAAAACTCCCCAGTCCATCACTTCATTATTAACAGTTTATCACTATCAAATATCTTATTAGGCCCTATAGTTTTTATTTAAGTTATTTAATGGATAGGGATCATTGTCATATGTACTTATACAAATAAAGAAAGAAAGAAAGAGATAATATATCTATTGTATATATTCTAAAATAGCACTAATCGAAAAATATTTATTTGACATAATATCACTTATATAACATTTTTCAAAAAAACAAATAATTCAGTATATTAATAATATAAATAAATTGTCAATCAATTTCTATCATATAATTTATCATAAATACTATAAATCATCAATCAATTTCTATTATATAATTGAGCATTATTTGTTATATAATTTATACTATTTTTACTATATATTTCATTAAATTTTTTTTCAAAAAATCATTAGATATTCATCAAAATTTTAATTTTATCAAAATTTATATATTTGTTGAATTTTTAATTATATTATATTTATGATTTAGAGGAATTATAGTTAAATATTCATGAGAGTCTTGCTGATTTGAAATTCTATATCTAAATGGAATAAATCGATCAAAAATATTATGAATAGAAATTATGCATTTATATTTAACTGGATAAAATTTGAAACTCTACAATTCAATATATATATAATTTTCAATCTGAAATAAAATCTATTTTCTATTGAATTAATTAGTTTTACCATTGAATAAAGACCAATTGATATTCAATAACATTATTTGAAAAGTTTATCAAATATGTAAAGAAGAATTGAACTTGTCCTGGATATAAA